ATCCTGGAGAATTTAAACCAAGTCTCAAAGCCAAAAAAAGAAGGACTAAACCTTGTCTATCCTTAACATAAAAATGTTCATGATCAAGTTCTCTTATTAAGTCCATCCAGGATAACGATGGGTTCTAAAATAAAATAAAAAATGTTGCAAGAATAATTTACTATCAAAATAATAATATAATAAATATTACCAATTCTTTGATTGTGTTAACAAACACTTCAATATTCCATGTAATGGAATTTGAAGATACTTTGTCTTTGTCGTGATCAGCATCATCTTCTGTCCAATAAGGTAAAGGTAATTGAGAATCCAGACCGGTATGTGTACGTATCATCATTGATATTACTTTAGCAACAGATTCAGGACCAAAAGTTATTGATGGGACACACCCATTAGTAACAGATAACAAGTTTCTTCGACATTCTTCCAATGATGAACAAACGGAATAGCCCATCTCCATTATTAAATTGGGTAATGATGGATTTTCCTAGTAAACCAACAAATATACATTAATATAAGTCTTAAATATTAAAAAAAAATATATTACCATTATTTTAGGAATAGTAGATGTATCTGAATTGATTTTATCCATTGGGTGGTCTGGCTTATCAGAATATATTAATGGTGCTAATAATACTGGAGCAACCTCAAGTGGAAAATCACGACGTAGATTAAGCAATAGAACTTTTTTTACTTCTTTACTTATTCCTAGTAAGAATAAAAAATATAATTAGCAGATAATTTTTTTAATTTTTCTTTTTTTTTGTCATTTTAAATGAAGTTGATAATACAAAAATTTTATTCAAAAAATAAATAATTTGATTGTTTAATCATCTTTATTTGATTTTTAAACACAAGAAGATAACCCTAATTGGGTTTAATTTTTATACAACTTCAAAATGTAATTTAATTTAGTAGAATAAGACAGTCAAATAAAAACCTCAGCTTTTTAATACTAAGTACTTAATTTAAATATACACATTTTAAATATTTATTTACACACCAAATAATTGCTCGTCGACATTAAATACGTGGCTCAAAATCAGGTGAAGAACTTCAGGACTAGAATCATGTAAGCCACCTTCAACAACTTGATTAGAATTGGTATCTAAATTAAAACAAAATTATTATTAAATATTGCTTATATGATATAATAAATTTTATTTAAGTACCTGAATTGATATAATTTTTTATAAGAAGTGGTAACTTCTGTTTAACAAATTGTAAAGCGTAAGTAGAGTAATTTGTTGACTCTAAGCAAACAAGTCCAAATACAACTTCTTGAACAGGACTTAAATGCAGAATTCTACTCAACTGTGTAAACTGTTGTATTGATGGTTTTTGTGTCTATTAATTAAAGCAAATTAAATAAATACATCAGAATATTAATAAAATAATAGTATAAATACCTTTTGAGAAAATAGTGGATTATCAAGAGCAAAGCACAATATTGAAGTAAGTGAAGGTTTATTCAAGAGAGTTGTACACTGGTGTGCTAGTAGTTGAGCTTGATAGTAATCTTTATGAGATGTATTTCTTGGTCCTTCAGTGTCTTTTAAATCAATGTGAGAAAACAGGCAACGTAATAGATGTCGGTCAGCTTCAAATCCTTGCAATTGAATCACCTTAAAAGTATAAACCAATAAATAAGATATCATACAAAAAATCATTAACAGCATCTATTTTAATTTTAAAAAACAAAATTTACTTAATTTGGATTGGTATATATACACATCAAGTCAAATAATTTAATTAATCTTTAATTATTTCATATAATATGGAATATAATTTTTTATTATCTTAGTGTAATTTAGAGAAACACGATTATATTGAAATATGTATCATGGAATGTTATACTATCATACTATACATAGATTTAGTATACACGAAAACATTTGGTACTTCATTTTATTTATTTGCCAGACTCATACATTCTTTATAAACCATAAACAATTTCAAATAAAAGTAATAATTATATATTTTTTATATTTAATAATTAATATTTCGTATTTATATGTTAACAATAACATTGCAAAAATGTAATTCCTTTATTTAATATTGTGGTGCATTACCATAGTGATATTTCATACATATACCAAGTGAATTTTTAACAATATACCCAATTTAATAAGTTAATAATATCTGTAAGATAAACACACACTTGAAACTACAGAAAATATTAAAGTGATGACTAAATACATAATAACGCGATTAACATTTAATAAACTAAATTTAAAATATTAAAAGAAATATTTACTCTTTTTCCACAAAATATATATTACATACTAGACTAATATAAATGTAAAATATTGAGATTTTAGATTCAAAACTGTCAATGTAAGGTTGCTTAATGTTTGAACAATAACAAAAATGTTTAAAGTATCAAGAATTGTTATTATGCTTTTGAAAATGTTCTCAATTAATTTGTTCTTATGACAACATAAAAAAGGTGTTAACTTCATTATACCTTTATAGATAAAAAAAAACAACTATCAACATGAAAGTCAGTATTAGATTTTAAAAAGTTTTCACTAATGTAAACTTACTAACCTACATTTTTTAATAATTTAAAATTTAAAAAAAAATCAACTTAAAATAATACACTTAAATATAAAATAATAAATTTAAATACAAATGCATATTAATATTTCCAAGAATATAGTTATAAAGGTATATATTTAGTTGTTAAGACAATTATTTGTATAAAGTATAGGTATTCTTGTTCTAATTTGATTAAGAAAAATAATTAACCACAGTATAACTCATAATCAAGTCAAGCATATATTTTCCTTATTATTAAATTTAATTGGTAGATAATTTACAAGTAATATCTTATACAAATATTTTATCATACTTATTATTTTTTTATCTGTTGAATTATTTAATTATGTCTTGTTTGTTATGCAATATTATTATTTATGCTTCTAGTATTAGCATAAAAAAATATAAAATACAATTTAAGTACAAAGGTATTATTATTTTTAAATGTACATTAAACATGTAAAAAAAAAAAATCATAAATAATAAATAATTTCATATTATCCAGCGGTACACACTTAATAAAGTTTAAAAACATTAATCCACGATAACTAAACAACTTATGATTAAAAAGGCTTTCCTTTCCCGTGAAATGTTTATAAGTTATATTTGAGATATATAATTTGAAAAATACAGAAGTCAAATTTATTATTATTTCTCTTGAAATTCGAGTTATCAAGACTTGACTATGATATCTAACCAAAATTTGGATGGCAAAATGTTTATAAATCTATCAACAATCCATATTCAAAATTTTTAACAAAATTTTATACATTATGTATAATGATAAAAACAATTTAAAGTAACTATGAGTTTAATACGTTGATTGCCATATGACCGTTGGTGGTTGTCAGACTGCAATAACGTATAGGCCACCATCATTTTTATTGTCATTCCAAAAGTGTTATGGGTGATATTTTTTGTGTAATTTTACCTATAAAAGGCTATTGTCTAACAATTTGTTTTACATATAAAAAATGTCATGTAAAGGTAATAAATAGACTATTTAAAACAAGTATTTTTTTTCTATGCCATGCTTACACATGTTCTAATAAATCAAGCACCAAATTCACAATTTGTACAAGAAAATATACATTATTTTGATAGCCTGTGGTTATATGACATGTAGGTAGTCAACGAATACAACCACCGACGGTCATAAAAATTATATTAAATATTTTCATAAAAAGACTGTCGGTGGTCATATGGCAGTCAACATGTTAAAGATCAATTAATTTTTTTGGAACCACAACTATAACTGTATAGGAAATTTCAAACGTTGATGTATAAATTACAATTTTTTATGAATAAAATCATTCGTATAATATCATTAACATGGCAGCAGCCAACGCCGGAAAATGGAGATAAACAAAAATAGTAAACGAAAGTTCAAGTAAAAATCTAATCTATCAGTAGTTATGTTCAAGTGAATATCCGTATGGAATGTAATACATGCCTATTTCGAGAGATACGAACATGAAAAACGAAAATTTTAGTGAAAAATGGCGTGTTACCATGTTAAAAACCCATCTATATAGTCGGCAACATGCATTATACTCACGTCAGATATTTCTTGAACGCTCGGCTTGTAGTTCTTTTTCGACAAATTGCTGACGAGATAACTGATTTGGGCCAACGTGTATGACAATGAATCCAGGTTCATAGTTCCATGAATACCGACCGAAAGCTTATATTTTTAAGCTTTCTTTGTCGACGCAATGGTGATCGCAGTATTAACTGTCTGGTGCACGTGGACGCCTAGTAAAAAGTGCACTATAGGATCGGAAAACACGATGTCTAGTGACAATCAAATGACCAATCGTCCAGCCATTACTAGCTATGGCGATATGGCGTCAGCGACAGATGGTATAATTCAAGCGACGGTCGACGAGAGACAACGGCGTAGCGTTAATGGAGGAGTAGGTGGCGCATTGCGCCTGTCCGAACAATATATGATACAATCAAATTTTAGAAAAATAATTCATATTTTACGTACATAATTTAAAAACAATACACGCGGATTATTCGTATGTAATAAATTATATTATGCCGTAATCAATGTAATTTTTTTTCTCAAATTAATTGTTTTGTGAGGAAAATACTCGGATGACGACGAGCGAGACGCGAGTAAACACTAAACAGTAAATAGTATGAGGTCGGTACTCGGTAGGTCGGCGGAAGGCTGCTCAGCGTTCTTCTTTTCTGGTAACGTCCCTGACAGCAAAACAACGACCGCGGTCCATGACATGCGCACCTCCAACTTAGCGTCTTACCGGCATTAACGGCATTAATAAAAAATGGATCTTGTTTACTCCATAGAATATAGTATAGATAGATAATGTATAAACGACAAATTTTTAGCTATGTGTTTACTCCATAGAATTATACACATATGTCTAGAATATTGTGTCTAAACAAGCTCATATTTGTGATAAGTGATAACGATTAAAGTCCCGCGTAGCATTATCGATTTATGGCGACCCACGAGAATAAAATTTACTGTTTTATATAGTATTTACTTACCGGCTACTGGTTACATTAATTATTCAGTGAATCAAATGCCATCATTAAATTGTGCCATTGCTACCCTTATAGTCTATACACAAATCAAAGTATTGCGTACAACGCAATCTCAAAAAAATATACTGTAAACATTAAATCACTTTTTAATATCTATAACTGTTGCCTGTTTGTCTGTTAGTTATTATTTCCAAGTCATAACTCTCAACGTTAAGTCTTTTACAATTTATTATCAAACCCCGGGCAACGAGACATATTCATACTTTAGTTAAGTTGTGATTGTAATTACTAGACATGTCCTCCATAGTAAATGCGGAGGTTAGAGTTTGTAAATAAGACATCTCTACCCACAGATACCTGGACTTGAATTAACTATAATTTTCTGTTATTTAATTTAGCAAACAAGTGCTACTGATGAATCTGCAATCAACACTAACGTTGATGAAAATGATGCTGATATTGATGCAAGTGAAAGTATATCAACAACAACAGGAAATACAGGTAAAAGTTCAAGTTAAATGCTTTTTTGGTATAAGTTATCATTTTTATGCTACCTTATCAATTTAAAATATTTTCTATTTACTAGAAATTTAAAACATTATTTTTAAATAACAGTCTTAACTTTTAAGTTGTTTGTTGTTTTAAAATTAGTTTGTGTACTTAACAGTAAAATATTTTATTATCAATTTGAAACTATTTAAATCAAATGTTTTGAGTAAATAGATGTATTTTATAATTTTTTTTTCTTTAAGTTTATATAACTAAATAATTAATATTAAAAATTGAAAAAAGGTGGATAAATTGGTCTTGCTGTGTTGTACAGTAAGTGTTGAGAGTGTCACTGTTACTAATATGCTACACTTGAATTCAATAATATATTATTATATAATATGAAAAACCACTCGGAGTGGAAACGATAGCTTATTTCATAAGCATACTACATGATAATATATTTTTTGTTAGTAAAATTAATCATTTTACTGTTATTACTATTGTAGGTTGATTTCACTTTTTTCAAGAATATTACATATATTATCATAGTAATTAATAACATAGATATTTATCATACTTGCAGACCCAGCAAACATTGTTTTGAAAGTGGTTCAGACTGTTAAGAGTATTGTCATCAGAACACAATGTGTATGTTAAGTTTCTGCAAATATACCTATATAGTTGCAGTTCATAAAAAAAAAAAAACAAACAAAAACAAAAAGCACTTTAATTTTTCAATTATCCATTATCCTGAATTTTCCATTTTTCTTTTTGTAAAACCTTATTTAGACTTAAAAATATTTAAAAAAAAAAAAAATTAGTTCTATTAATTTATCTGTTTTCTAGTTATGTGTTTACCAACAAACACCATTTAATTTATATGTTTATAAAAAATTATATTATTGTTATTAATTTATAAGTCAAATAATAGACAATTATTTTGGTCTTGTGACTGTCTGTTATATATAGGTTTCACTGTAGAACTTAAGTATAATAGTCACTAGTCAGTAATTTTTTTCTGAATAATACTTTTAATTCCAAACAAATTATAAATGTATTTACTAACAAATGGACTTATGCCATTTGGATAACCATGTTTATTAGATTATCAGGGGTCTGGACTATCGAAGCTCTACTGTATTTTGAAAATGTTATTGTATATAGTAAAATTTATAATGTACATAAAAATTCAAATCTTCTCTAATAATGTTTTTGAATTGTTACGAAATAATTATTCAAATTAAAATCTATTGTTAAATGTAATTTTGTTTCAATATCTATAAAAAAATATACTAGCATTCATACTCAATTTTGTGTGAATATATATATATGTATGTATGTATTTGAAACAACAGCAATAAAAAATAAATACATGAACTAAAATTTAGATTACTTACTAGAATGTTATTATTAATTTGTATTTATATTAATTTCATAGAGCTTTCTTATTCTAATTTCATTAAGCTTAGTATCTAATATTCTTTTTTTAAATTATATAATAGGTAAATTCACTGAAATAATAAACATGACGGAGTTAAATAAATTGTTAAGATAATTTTTTTTCTGATCAAATGTTTTTATTATATTGCTTAATATAAATTTTAAATATAAATCTAGTTTTAATAATGGTAAATTTTTTTTAGATATTTTTGGTTTAAGTTTAAACTATTCATAAGTAACCATGTGTTAAACTTTAAATCTTAACTAAAAATTTAAGATTTTATAATTTTTTTTTTAGTTTTTTGTCTAATATTGTAGATCAAATTTTTTTGCTCATATTGTTTAAATTTTTAATAATTCATCAAGAGTTGGAAATATTTAATTATTAGTTATTTTCGAATAAAATAATATTTAATTTAATTTAGTAGTATTAAATATAAACTATATATATATGTATATATAGTTATATAACTGTTATCTATTAGTTATACAATGTATTATTCATAAAAAAAAATATTCTTTATCAAACATAAAAATTGTATTTAAAATCTTATAATTTCTTTTATAAATTAATTTTTTCTTATAGGAGTTTCTTCTACAACTCCTGAAATTAAAACACAAGATATATGCATAGCAGAAGGATGCAATAATGCAGCTATTCAACATCCCGAGTGGGATAATGAATATTGTAGTGTTAGTTGCACTTACAAGCATTGCAAGTAAGTATATATAATCTCATTTTAATAATATACATTTTAATAAACTGTAATATATTTTATAGAGCTACATTTATAGCTTGGCTAGAAAACAATAAAACAGCAAAAGCAAAACCAGTATCAGTACTTGTGTTTCAAGAAAATTCAGTTGTCAAACAAGAAAATGAAGAACTAGAAACATGTTCAACGACTTCATAAAATGAAGTTGCATTTCTTCATTGATATAACATTTTTTGTAAATAAAACAATTATTTATACCATTTTGCATTATTATTGATTAAAATTCAGTATTTAGGATATTTATTTTATGTAATTCTTAAACATATTATCTGCCTACATTTATATTAAAACAAAATAGTTATATGAACCTCAGTATTAAATTTATTTTTTATTTTTTTATATTGCATGTTATAATATAATTACTGATTATTCTGATAAGACATTTTTCTACAATTAACCTCATCTTAATATTTAAAAGACAAATTTTTTATTTGATTGTTTATAAAACACCAATGGTTGTTCAATTTACTCAGACCTTACATGAATTATAGAAATTTTCCTAATTTCACTGCTTAATACACTATATCAATCATTTCCATAAACAAGATTTATTCCAAAACCTTAATTAATATTTAATATTTAGTTATAATTTTAAAAACAAAATGTATGTGTTCATATAGAATATTTTTCAATTATTTTAATTGATACATGCTACAGTGAAAACTGTCTAAAGCGGAATCGCATGGGACCAACAAAAAATTCCGCTTTAAGCAGTTTTCCGCTTTATTCAATAAAACGGAAAAATTCCGGATTATTCAATTCAAACGAATAAGAAATATCAAAGAATATTTCTCAATTTATTGTTTTAAATACATAATATAATTCATTAAAATTCATTAAATTTGATCTGTTGATATTTTTCATTTAATGAAAGATACTTATATTTTGGCATTTTAATATATTTAATGCGATGAACGGAAGATATAATAAAATTAAAAGTGTACGTACGACTGTTGGTGTAAAGCTGTTTCACAGTTACAAAGAAGAAATTTTGTCGTTCCGTTTCCGCGTGATGAAGGTTCTGTTTTATTGAAGTTGAGCGTCTATATAAAACTATAAGAACGTGCCAGGACCATAGAAAAATTCCGTATTGGATAGTTTTCCGTTTTATTCAGGGTCCGCTTTAGACAGTTTTCACTGTATTAATTTAGGTTCATATTACTATCTATAAATATAATATAATGGGCGTCTCCAGGAGTGGGCAAGCGAAGCACCTGCCCCCCCCCATAGAATTTTAAATTTATTTCCTAATAGTAATAATTTAATGTAATAATGACAAAACATAATAATGTATTAAAATGTATAAAAAAAATTTCATTTATTTTTTTAAATTAATTTTGCCCCTATCCCTCCCTAGAAAAATGTCTGGGAACGCCCATGTATAATATACATTAAATATTTTATTTTTAAAATTCTTTAAATATATTAATAAGTATAAACTAACAATAGATAACACAAATTTAGGTCAATAAACTTGTTTTTTAAAAATGCTGGTCACTTTAACCAGAGATTCCATGTCTGTATTTTCTTAGACTGTACTTATTGATTATATTGATATTCTACATATAAAATAGTAAATAAAAATTAAGAAAATAAGGAATTTTTAATCCCTAGCGGCCATTAAACAACTATATAAATATATTTTTTTAATTTTTGCCAAATAAAATATAATATACTAATAGAATATAAATTAAATAATTTAGTTTAATTAAAGTAAAAATAAATTCTAATTTTAATTAACAAACTGATGCATCCTTATATCAAATAAATTGAAAGACATTTTTGAAATTATATTTTTCTATTATGAGTAAAAATAAAATACAAATGATGATTTTTGGCAGCAAATTTAATTAAAATTAATGTATTACCCACAAAAAGTAAATTAATAATAAGAATTATACTTGTATTGTGATACTAATTATATTATATATTTTTTTAAATATTTACCTAGTATTTAAAATAATTTTATATCTATTCTTAATGAAAACTAATTAAGTAATATTTAAAAAAATAATCGTTTACATTATTTAAAATTTTCAAAAGTATTACTAAAATAATATATTTTATAAATATATTTTTATTTTTTTATTTTTATTGAAACAATATTACAATTTATTAAAGGAAGTTCATTAGAGTTAATTCCCCCTTACAAACATAAAATATAATTAATATTTGAGTGAATATCCAGATTTAAAATAAGAATCTGTGTTTGTGCATTGATATCACAAACTTATAAAAGTATTATTTTTGCGTATCTGTAGTTGGAATTTTGTAATATATTGAACTCTTTTTTTGTCAAGTTTCAAGGAAAACAAAAAGAAATACAAGATATCGAGAAAAAATCAAGATGTTGTTTTCATTGTTTTTTACTGTACATTTTTTTTATTTTTACTATGATAAGAGTTATATTTAAATGTTATAGGTTAAAAAAAAAGTTATAAATTTTGTATCAAACTATTAGGAGTAAAACACTATTAAAATATATAATGGTAGTTTTAAGAGGATTTACTGATAGTTCAAGATATAACTAAATTTAAAATATCAGAATTTGATATAAAAAAGAATCTACTGAATTATAAATACAAATAATGTTCTGACGTTTAAATTATATGATTAGTTAATCTTACTCTAATAACAAAAAATACTATTTTGAATACATTATATAAATATACGAGTATATTTTTATTGGACAGAGATAATGTAAGCAAATATATTTTCTTGAAAATTGAATCATAATTATAATTTATTCATCTCAATTGGGGTAGTCTGAGTAGTTTTCTTCATTCATTGCATTGTCAATATCTGAATTATTTAAGATAGGAATATTTTGCGACGATGAACAGTTGCCATAAACAGATTCGTGATCAAAATTTGTATTGAATTCATCAATAACTTTTTGGAAAGACGCTTGATCTAATCCAATAGATTTAACAAAATTAGGAGTAACTGTATTAGAGGTCGAAGTAGATTGGATTTTTACTTTATCAATATTCATTTTGCTTTCAGTTGTATCAAAAATATTGTCGGGCTGAAGTACATCAAGAAGTTTTTTATTTTTCAGATGATTAATACTTTTTTCATTCTGTTGTTTACATAAATTATTAGTACTTAAAAATGAATTTTTAGTTGTAAATGAATCAAATTTACAGTTTGAGGGTTTTGTTAACATATGTGAACATTTCAAGAGATCGTTAAGTTGTAAATCAGTATTCGAACATTTTGTAAAGTACATTTTCCTATTATGAACATCAACTGTATCAGTTTCAATATATTCTATATTTATGTTATCAACATTGCCATATTTAGAATGATTAATTTGAGTACTTGTGGACGCTTTTTCTTTTATACTTTTTTTTGTAACATTAATTTTACTCGTTGATTGTTCTCCAACAGAGAATTTTTGAGTGTCATATTTATTGTTAATTGGAGGAGTTAATAATGAACTTTTAACAAACTGATCAATTGTTAATTGAAAATGCTCACATTCCTTCAGTAAGTTATTACGCTTACCAAATACATCATTTTTATGTTTGATCAATTCTACCACACCATCTTTCATACCCATCTGAAACACACCAACAATTTAGAAATTAGTAATTTAGTATTTTTAATCCAAACAGTTAGTTATTATTAAAGAATATATCATTACCTATAAAATCAATGATATGGGAAATTAACTTAAATTATTTCATTTCTAAACATAAACATTTTTGATTTCTTTGCTGATAAGTAAACTTTCAAAGAACATAGTTATGTTCATAGAAACTAATATTTCATTTAAATATTAAAGGAGAAAATTTTAATTTTATATATTTATTTACAAGGTATAACAAAAATGAAATGGTGAGTATTATTTGCAAATCTTTACTATTTTGTATGAACTACAAATTAATAAAACTTGTATATAGCTAAGTATTGCTTCACAGTTATGTTCAGAATTCTTTATAAGAAAATGCAGTCATTTAATTTCCAGGTCCAGTATTTAATATTTGAAATATTTATCTATATACTCATACAAAATTAAAACTACGCACAAAGTCTACTAATTTTAAATTTTTTTATGGAAAATATGCTTAAATATAAAACTGTTTTATAATAAAAAATATTACTTAATTCAATTCATAAATAGTATTTTTATGATATCAATATTGATATTATATTAGATTTGATAAAAATAAATAACAATAATTAATTTACTCTTTTCTTAAAACTAATTGTTATTTTTAAAATATTAAAATATTTAATTACATTTTTAGTATTTACTGACATAATATTTTAGTAAAACAGTCAAATAATAACAAATTAAATAGATAAAACAGTTGGAAGGAATAATAATAATCCAATCATAAAGTTATTATTGTTTACACAATAAGTTGTTAACACTATATACAATATATAAGTTGTAAATAATAGGTAATTATCAGAGTTGTGATTTTGATGACTTTTGCATTTTTTTTTTTTTTAAGTGCTTTACAATTCTAACAAAAAACAAAATTTTTTTTGTTATATAACAATTTAAAATTTATAATTTTTATTTTGTATTTTAAGATTATTTTTACAAATTGTACATTAATTTTGTCTATTTGAACGTATTTTTGTTTATTTTAGCTTTTTTTAATATGTATTGTATCAGTAATTCTAATTACCTACTTTAGTCCATTGATATTAAAAAATTAATAAAATTAATTGTCAACTCAAATTTGAATATATTTGTTTAATTTACTTCTTAAAATAAATTTTTATTTATTTTGTGTAAGTATAAAAAATTAATGAATAATAATTATTTTAAAATAACATTTTTTTCGTTCATTTAAGTATATCTTTTGGTCATTTTTAAATTCATTTTTTAGAGTTTTTAATTAATTTTTGCATTTTTGTGTATTTTTTAGGTCAATAAAATCCAAGTTTTATTTAAATAATAAAAAATAAAATAATAATTAAATAAATATCGATTCATAAATCATAGGTATTATCAAGTTTAGTCATTGAAAATGTGTATCTTAATAAAGTATAATTAAATAATGTAAATAAATTACCTCTTGAAAACTATTCAGAATTGGATCAATATTGCTTGGATAAGAACTTTTTGATTGCATATCTAAATTGTTTTTCATAATATTTGCAAATTTTTTTATGTAATTGATTGCTTCATCTCTTAGAAGGTATAAAGTGTCTTTTGAAGTAAAATCAAATCCAACATGAGAGAGCAATGCTGCTAGGCTGACTAAGATTTTATCCCCGTCCTTGTGTTGAATATTATCACAATTTGATTCAGTAATATCTTCAGGAAATGGGTTACATTCATCTGTAATTATTTGTCGCCCGTGTTTCATTTCAGGGATTATCATTAATTCTTTACATTCATTTAACATCGTCAAGTCATCAGGTGTTTTTGAAACTTGTTCTGTTAAGAGTTTCATTTTTTTAAGATGTAATTTAAGTTCAATATTGTACATAATATCTGGATTAATAATTATTCTGTCTTCTACAAAACATTCAGAATTTTTTTGAACTTCATTGTTATCTTCTAATTTTACATTTTCTAATACATATTGAAGAAGATTGAGCTTAATTAATTTTTTTTTTTCTAATGATTCATTAGTATGATTACCCTTAACTAATGACAATATTTCAACATTATCAACATCTTCTTTTGTTTCGATCATCTCATTAGAACTTGACATTGGTTCAGAATTATCATAAGAAATTTTTTCAAAATAACTAAATAAAAGATCTTCTTTGTGGAAATTATATTCTGAATGTTCATTTGATGTTTCAGGCAAAGAAGACATATAAGAAATACATGACGGACTAGATGGACTAGATATGTTATTTGAATAAAGAGAACAAGAAAAACTGTCTGTACAATGTGAATCAGAGAAACTAGGTAAAATTATATTAGTATCGTCACAGCTTAAATTGAAGTTCTCAGTTTGTTTAGAAATTAATTTAAAATATTGTTCAGGTTCTAATTCATGGCTGGAAAAATTATTCAATTCTGGTATGATTTTAGTTTCACTTGTATCTTCAAATAATGGGTCACTTTTTAACTCTTGTAATTTTATCACATTAGCACAGCTTACATATTCATTTAAATTTCTTAATTTCGAACCTAATACTATATTACTATTATTTTTATCAAAATTATTATCTTCATTAATTTCTCGTGGTTCATCTATAGTATTATAACATTCTGTTAATTCATTTAATTTGACAAGTGACTCTTGTTTTTCTTCTTTACTTTTTATATCTTTTTCATTTTGATGTTCCATTTCAACATCAGCTTTATCATTTGATGCATTATCGTGAACTATTTCCATAGTATTTTGTTCCATTTTAGTATTAAAATTTATTCGTGTTGGCCTAAAATATAGTTATAATTTAATCTAATCCATTTCCAGTTTGAATATTCATGATTATATACTATAGTGAATCTCGGTGTATTTGCATTTGCATTTGTATTTAACCATTAGTTTTCCTAAAAAACACAATTATAATAATAATTTAGAATAATAAAATAAAATCATAGTCAAGTATTTAAATTACGAAAATATGAAATTTATTACCCTTAAATATATAATAATTAGGTTTATGAACTATTGAGTACTTAACTTTTTTTTAATTTCTAAAGAGAATTGCACTAATATACTTAATATAATTTTGGAGTATTTAATTTGTATATTAATAAATAGATAATCGATTTGTATAATTAATGATTTATACGACTCATATCCTTAATTTAAGTTTTGTTTCTTATATATTTCAGGTTTTATTAATTAGAAAATATGATTTTTGTGTTTTTAAAAAATGTTACAGTGAATTAACCTTAGTATTTTAACAAAAAAATTATAAAAGTTTATCATAAACTTTAAAAGAAACTATTCAGAAAACTAAAAAAAATATGATTTTTAGTTAACATTCAAATTTATGATAAAAACTAAAATAATTTATTTTATACATTAAACTTTGTTTACATATTGTAGATTACAGGTATACAGAAAAATACAAGAAAAATATAATTAATAATGAATTCAGGAGTAATTTTTAATTGCTATTTTATTTTAATATTAAACTTAATTTTTTTTGTGTGTATGTAACTCGATCAGAAAAAATGTTGAAGAAAATAAATCCCAACTTTAAATGATATATCTGTTAGTATTGAATCTAGTTGGTAGTTTGGGAGATCATAAGTAAAGCATAGATTTCTATGCAATTACACATTTCTTTCTTATCACTTTTTTAGATTTTTGTCTGTTATCTTTTTAAATCATAATAATTTGAATCAATTTTTTTGCATATTTCTGCACATTTAATGGTTAATGCATATTTTTACAAATGAAAAGTAATGCATATTAAAGCAAAAAATATGGAATTCATTACATTGCCGTACGGAAAAATGTATCAAAGTTAAAGCGAATCACATTGAATAACTTTTCATACTTAAACAATGAATAATGATCGTTATTTTGTTTTTATACAAAAACATTATAATAGTAGACTTAAAACTTTTTGTATATTATGAATTTTACTTAATGCAATTTTCAAAATATGTTAATTAATTTTAAGTTATTACCTAATTATATAATGATAAATCTATTTACATTGTTTTATGTTAAGATAGTATTTACTCAAAAGCTAATAAAAATAATATAATGAATGCAACATTTTTCTACATTGCATGTCAAAATATACAATATGAAATGTATTTAGTGATATAGGCTGACAGACTGTCTCATAATATGTTTTCATATACATTGATATATCATTGAATTTAAATTTAACACATTCATTACAGTGATCCACTCAACACCTACTATAAAACAGACTAGTAATTTACTCGTTAATCTTTTTATTTATTTAATTAAATATTCTGAAAAAAAAAAACAAAAAAACTATCCTAAATCTTAACATTAAATTATTTGAATATGTACTTAACTTAAAAAACAATAGGTACATCATTCATTATTTTGTTTTTATAGTCATATAACATAAAAGAGTTATTTATTTATAATATATTTTCAGATACATGCCAATAATTAAATATTAATACTTAATAATACTTTTTACTTGGAAAGATAATATTCTTTTATTACATAATTTACCATGTATAATTTTTACGAGTATAAATAGCTATTTTACGAAACTTAAGGTTTTCAAATGATTTATTTTAATTTCTAATAATAAGTTTATGATAGACATATTTATTATTTTAGTAAAACATTTGCTCATTTCATCTAGAGTCTATAATAATTCTGACTTCTGAGTACATTATACATGTTAATGTCATAACACTCATAACTCATAAATCATAATACATATAAAATAATAAATTCATTATACATTTATTTATATTTCAATTAAACTTGAAATGGAATTTTATTAAATAATTAATATATAAGTATATTACCTTTGTAGTGTGCAAATTACATTTTAAGTTTTAATGATGTCTTGTAGTCCACACCATGAAGTTATCTTATTATTTGTATATTATACATTGTAAAGTAACTATAAGATTAATATTACGACTTACAAGTATCATTACAGATTATAATACCATAACAATCAAAAAATAATATGAAGTTGGTTGACTGTTGATCATCTTATATTTTTCGAAGTTAACACTCGATATACTAATTGGCTATTCACTCTATTAAAGATAGGTACGTTGTAATATTAAAAAAATTCATGTGATAATGAAGTAATCAAATTCTGACTGATTCGAAACATCTGGTTGAAGTAAACAATAACCAAATTAAAAAATTAAAATTAAAAAGCGGTTTGTAGTTTGTATAAGAACCGTAAAAATTAAATAATAGATAATGGATAATGTTATAATTTTATAAAATTCATTATCATTTATTATCTATCCTTATCACAAAACACTTTAGAATCTCTAACTTTTGTTCGAAAATCATTTTATTCTAAGAAATATTTGTTCCACAATCTATTGATGCCACTATTGTAGTAATGTAGTCTCTTCTCTCTAAACAGATCACCATTAAAGTATTTAAAGTACCTAGGTACCTACTAAATATGATCTGTTCTGAATTTCCAATGGATTTTAATTACAGAATATAGAATATATTAATTCCCAAGTTTGATTCAAATATTTATTGGAAGTCTACACATGCTAGAACTCTTCGACTTCTGTCTTATGAACTTAATTTAAATTTATAACTTATGATAATTCAATACGAAACATACAACATAGAAATGTTTCTGAAGTTCTGAACGTTGAAAGCATGAATCGCTGTTGATATATTATTTAACGTATTCAATTATATTTTATCGTATCATTTCACATAGACACGTGAAGAATGTGCTTTAATGCTTTTACTCACAGGAAAATCTGGCGGCCTACCCTGATAAAATGAATATTTTGTGTGGAAATTGACCAACCAAAGACCATATTGTATAAATTAGCGGCAATATGTATTATACTGGTATTTTATAAAATGTCTAAGAACTCCCATATAATACCAACTACAGCTGGAAATCTATAAAATTGTTTTAATTATTATTATTATTATCTTTATTGACGGAAAAAAAACGAATAAAACCTAAGCATTACATGAAGTGACTAACAATGTAGGTACCTAGGTTAAGGAATTGATTAAATCAAATTTAACTCAAATATATAGTAAAAAGACTTGATATTCTGCAATAATTACAATAAATAATTTTATGATTATCTACTTCTTAATAATTCTAAACACACTTTTGATAGAAACGAATTCAATTAATGTTTAAAATGCTTATTGAGCAAATATGGAGTATTCACTTGTATGACACCTATGTATAAATGTATAAATTGTATGATTTAGTATTGTTATTGGCTTTTGAATCAATACCGACCTAATGTAGAACAATATGTAAACTATAAATAGGTTTGGACCGTTTGGGGAATAGGTATACAGGAAGGCTAAAGGGCGATCGCCTCCCGGGCCCACAATAGTGTCATAAAAATAAAAATAATAAACATCATTCATATGAAAATAAATTGAATATTATTTATTAAAAATATTTATTAGTTGAAATATGATAATAATAGATGATTTACCCTCCGAGCCCCTTAATATCTAGTCTGCCCCTGCATGTATAAATAAATACTGAATACCAAAAACGAATTCAAATATTTTGTAAATGTCATTGGGACATTGTATTTATAAAGTATAACATAAGAAAAATATTTTTGAATTATAACAAAATAAATGAAATTGCTACTTTTTATTTAAATATCTAATTTTATAAAAATTAAAATTTGAAATGTGTATAAGAAATTGTGTTTAGAAATTTCTTGGTTCTAGTATGAGCCACTTATATAAAACTTTGTATTAAAACTTCAAGTCTTAGCCATAAACCTTTCATACATTTTTAAATATCCAAAATATCAAGTATCTATTAATAGCTGAAAGTTTAAAGATATTGAAAATTATACTTTGTACAAAAAAAAGGTAATATAAAAATTAAAAATGTTATAAGTATCTAGCTACAGTTACTTGTTTTTACGTCAGCAAAAGAAGAAAATTGTTTGATGATTTATCTTTATTTTATGTGTGGACTGTGGATATCCAATTTTGTCGAAAATTCAGATAGCCATGTCAATTTATTTTGGAATTACATTTATCTTTTCTTTTTTTTTGACTTTCAATATTATCAACTAGTTAGATTTTTGCATAAAAATGTAATAGTTTAAACAAATTTTTATTGTGTCAACATAACTATACTAAAATATAATTAGCTTATTAATATACAGGATATATTATAGGTTTATTCCTAGTTATATGCTAAACTCTATGATTAACGTTTAAAGGATTCATCTTATCATTAACTATAAAATAATTTTCATTATGTATTGTAAAAAAGGGATATAAACCCAAGTAGAGTAAAATTTAATTTAGCTGACGCAGAATATTATATACCTACATTAGTTGTACCACTATTTTACGTTTATTAAACATTTAAATATTCAAAAACCATTAAAAACCAGAGTAATTGCCTATAAAATAAATATCATTCAATACTTCTAAAAAATTGACAGTAGAGTTATAAATATATTTTTTATTAATACCAATGAAAGTTGTTTATTTAGTGTAAACTATGTTATATATTTAAATGAATAATGAATAAAAAACTAAAGAAGTAATTTAATAATTAGCTTTATTGCAAAATATAACTAAAAACTGTTATAACCATTGTGATAACTTCAGCAGAAAGTATAAGTGTAGGATACAAAGTTAATTTTTTTGAGAGAAATTTGAAATGAACTGTACTAATGCTCGGGTTGGTTTACCAGACATGCCACTGGATATATATAAACCATCTTCTCCATTTGATTTCATTACTCCAGCGATGTCCATATGAATCCAATCGCCTGGAGGAGCGAATTCCTGCAAAATATACATCATACTTATAGATATGGTTCCTTATTTCTAAGATATATCAAACTTATTTTTTTAATATAAGATCATATACCTTTAAGAATGCTGCTGCTGTACAAGCACCACCACCTTTTCCTTTCCCAATATTGTCTAAATCAAAACCAGAATAACCTGTGGAGACAATAATAAAACACATATATATATAGTCAACATACTGTACTAGGTTAATTAGTTTAGTGACAATTTCTTAGTATTATTAACTAGCAGTTATATCATATCTATTAGAATACCTTTTAATAATGAAGAATAATAGTTCCACAAAGGAAATCGCCACATTCTGTCACCTGTATAGAAGCCAGCTGACTGTATGGCAGCCCACGGTATGTCAGATGAACTAAATACTCCAGTAGCAGCTCCCCCAATTGCAACCATCATAGCACCTATTTAACACCACAGGCATATTTTTTATGTACTTATTATGATGTAATTATTCTCAACTACATGTAACTTGGAATAATTATATTTTTTTACCTGTTAAAGTAGCAAGATCTATAGTGATTTTTGGCCTAAATGTAGCTGCATAACAAAGAGCATCTGCAAGTATTAGTCTACCTTCAGCATCTGTATTGTCTACTTGTATAGATTTCCCGTTCATGGCAACAATAACATCTCCAGGCTTTACTGCACTACTGCTAGGCATATTTTCACATAATGGAGTTAGACCTAAAATATGAATAGCAATAATGGTTTTATATTATAAAATTTACAATAAGTTATAACTTTTTATATGGACAAAGAGTACCATAATTAGAAAAACAAATAAATATTTTACAAGTAATCAAAACATGTGAGAAAAACAGGACAGAACAATAAGTGAGAAAAATATGATTTGATTATATAATTGATAGCTAATATCTTGGTGCTTTATAAAATAATAATATAAAAGAATATAAAATCAGAACTTAGAACATTTCAACTTCTTTAGCGGATCAAAAAAAAAATTAAACTTTTATGAAATTACTATTTAATATAACTCTTATTTAAATGGGTAAAAACATTATAATTTTGTTTTTGTGGTTTTACATAAAATATAGGTATATAGCGGAGAGTATGGTCAGATATATTAAGAAATATTTTGGCTAAAATCTCAAGATAATTAATTAATTAATTTAATAATTAAAAAAGAAAAGATCATTTATTAAACTGTCTATGGAGATTGAAGATTTAGTTCTTTAACAAATATATTAGAAGAAGTGGCAATCCTCTTTAATTTATGATCCACCATACAAAGAAATGGTATTGTATTTTTTAATTTGTACAATATGATCAGATTTGTAAGGACTTCATATTATTGAACTGCATTCAGCTAATAAATGAGCCTATGAGCATTATTTAGTTTTAAAACAATAGGGTTGATAGATTTATAATTTAAGAAACTAAACATTCATATTGTTTTAATGCAAATGAGTACAATATGTTCATTAACTTCACTAAATAAAGTTATACCAAGACCTTTAATATGATATTTAATTCTTAGTTTGCTGTTCTCATTAAAATAATTTTAACTGATTGGATTTTATATTTAGTAAAGAAAATGTATGAACATTTTGATAATTTAAAATTTTCTTGTAATCATTAATATAATTAATGTTTGAATATATTTTTAAATCATTTATATATAATAGACATTAAAAATGGATAAATATATAATAGAGACCATTGATAAATAATATGTTAAATGAAATGGAAGATAAAATAACTTTGATTGGGTTAGGTGTAGAATTATTTGTTTTCATTTGTTATTTCCTTCTTGTGAACATGAATCAAACCATAATAAAATTTAATCAGTTACCTCCAAATGTAATAGTATGTTATTTGGTAAAAAATTATGTTGATTTTATCTTTAGGGAATTTTCAAAAGTTTTTGGGATTATTTATAAACTTTTATTAGTTTTTATTCAAACATTTAGTAAAACATTGTTTTGATAATAATTTAGTTTATTAATTAACTTATAAAGTTTAAGAGACTTATTTTTTTATTATAAAATGTATTCATAATGATCCAATTAATATTGTTGAGATATTTATTAAAGTTATTATAGTCAAAAATTAAAATATAGAGAAGACCAACTGTGAATATTATTAAAATTAAAATTAAAATTTGGCTGAGTGATAATGATAAAAAGGTACTAAAATGTGATTTTGATTAGAAGAATTAATAGTCAAATACTTGTCAAACATTAAATCAAAAATGGAATCAAATTAATTTATATAATCATTTATTTGATATGAATTAAGCAAAGAAAAACTGGCATGTATCATATTGGCCTTTTGCAATTAAATACCACTATATTTAAGCCCAAAGTCATTATTAAAAAATTTAGTGCTTGTTAGGTTATATTACTTGAATAATATTAAATGAAAATTGATATCAGCGTTTGATATTTCTATTGTATTTATATGTTTCATGTACGAATTAATAATAATAGACAATGGTTTAAAAGTTAAAACAAACTCTTAAAATATATTTTTATTTGGCATTTATGGTAAAAATTATATAACCCTGATTAGTATCATTAGATTGGATATATTTTTGACAATTAACTTTTATGTATCTATATCATAACATTTCCATCTTTATTACATGCAGTGGTGCTATAAGTGATAATATTATATAAGTATTTCTAATTAACTATAAATTAATTTAGTTATTAATTAAATTTGTACACAAAAATATCCTAAAAAAAATGCAAAAATTTCCTAAAAACTTCAATAAAATTAATTGAAAAATGAAAAAACTTAATTCGAAAATAATTATTATTGCAGATACGAGTGTAATAATGGATGTCAGAGTATTTTAAAATATAAATTGTAAAATTTTAATTAATGATTTTTAATAAAAGAACTGTAAACTTGCAGTTTGTATTATTATTATTATTTTTTGAATACATACATTTTTTTAAACATTCCTCAAAGTACAAAACTACAAAAAAATGTTCTAGAATATAAAAAAAATAAAAAATGCAAAATAAAATTTGTAAATTCTGTATGAGAAGCATGACATAAATTTTTAGTTAAAATAGTATTTTATAAGATCAAGGAAAAAAATGCAAGTCACCACCAAGTCAAGTTTCAGTTAATAATAAATAATATGTTTCAACTAGAGAAATATAAAAAATTAAAACTATATAGTTGTGTACACAAATTAAGAAAATTTTGATTATAGTTGGGAAAATAAAATTTCCTAAGAAAAAGAACACATTTAAAGATTTTACATTTATTATAATTTGAAAATAGTTATATATTTTTATTTCTTGAACTAAGGAAGGAGTTTCTAAAAATTTGATATACAAATTATGGCATTCTCTCTAATGTAATAGGTTTTGACAGCTCTTACATTGTTGTTTAATTAGGTTTGAGTTAATCTTAACACGACTCAATTTTTTCAAGAGATAATTATTTTAATTTTAATAAAATCATAAGTGTGTTTCATTGGAAATTTGATCTTTTATTAATTTATTGATCTCTTAATCTTTATTGTCTGAAAGCAAAAAGTTAAGACAATTAAGTATAATTTTACATGATCTGGACATCTAGTTAATCAATTTTGAGCTTGATTGATTTGAAAATGTATAGGGTTAAAAATTTATGAACTAGATGGGTTTGATTTTAAAATTTGAACATTTTAACTTGGAACTTCAGTAAATGACTCACAGTATTAAGAAAAATAATATATAATTTAAAATTTGTATTGAATTATTTAAATCTCTAAATTACTTATCATGTTTAGTTAATTAATTTTGTATTCATGTATTAATTTGAATTGTATGTTAACCAAACATTAAAACAATATTAATATATTTATAATTTTTTCCAATGAAGAATCTTGGCGTTCGTTGAAGTATTTAGTAAAAGATGTTTATTTCTATTGTTTTTTAACTGGGGTATCCACTTTAATTTTGATTATATTTATTATATTAGATTATATAATTTTAAAAGTATTGAAATTTAGATTGAATAAATTGAGATAAATGAACAATATTTACAGATATCTGATCGGTACATTGGACCAAACTGTATTTCATATTTACATATATGTTTAATATTTTTTCCTCTAAACTATCATAATAATAATTTACACATATAGACTGCGTAAAATTAATTTAACTATTATAAATTAATACTTATATATTATTTACTTACCAATTACATTGACTGGAAGTTTTAGTTCTGCTATTGCAGAGATGGCAGCTACTACATTTGCAGCACCCATCATATCAGCTCGCATTTCACCCATAGCTGCTGATGGTTTGATTGAAATGCCTCCACTGTCAAAAGTCACACCTTTGCCTGTCAAACATAAGAAAAATATTTGTTTCTTTTCGTTATGCACAACTTCAGTATTTATATTAGCTTACCAACTAAAACTATAGGTCTGTCGTTAATGGGTCCACCCGAATAATTAATTTCCAAAAATGATAAAGGTTGTATACTGCCTTTGGCCACATTTAACAGGCCTCCCATTTTTTTTTCTTCAGCCCAACATTTGTCCCGCACTATTACATTAACATTATGTTTTCCAAGTACTTCTTGAACTTCCTAAAAAAACATAATAATTAATTATTAGCAAAACTTGTATACAGGACAAATGACTTGAAAAAATAATTACACATTACTTTAGAGAACATGATTGGAGTCATATGGTTAGGAGCAGATTCAGTAAGCTTCCTTGACCAATTTTGAGCATTGGATTTAATTATTCCCTGACTCCATCCGTCGCTACTATTACATAAAAAGAAAATTCCAATATATGTTTTCACCAGGGTTGGTATATACGCGTATAAAACGTATAAAACTAAATAAGGACTAAGATATACTAAATTTCCTTAAATTTAGAATAAAATTAAAAACAAGATTAATTTCTTTTTTTGTAATTATAAGTTTAAAGTTATAACAAAAACATATATATTTTTATTAATATAAAAAATTATCACAAATATCTTTTTTGTTAAAATAATATAAATAATAATGCCTTTAATTACCACTTATCAATATCAAATTTATTATCAATTGACAATTATTATTATTTATTATTTTATACGGTATAAAACATATAAAACTAAGTTGTTTTATACTGTACGTTTTATTTGTTTAGTACGTACGTATAATACGTGTTTTATACTGTACTGTAATATACGTTCCAACCCTGGTTTTCACTTATATTAAGTAGCATAAAAATATGGTGTTATGGAATTTTTAATATCATAAACATACAAACCTTGACATATCTTCAAATAACGATATTTTTGGAATTATGTCTTTTTTGTTTTTATATTCTTGAAATTTCCAAGTTCCTAGAGTAGAACCTTCTGCAGCACTTTCTGAATCACCCATAGCGGACACAAATATATCTTTGATACCACAATCTACAAGACTACGACAACCATCTAGAATATAATTTTTTCAGTATACACACAATTAAAACTAACAAATAAATTATGTCTTTGTATTACTAGCTGTTGCGATGCGTATATTTTCTTTTTTAGCATTAATGCCATCACCATTTTCTTTATCATCTAATTCTTCTTTACCAATTCCCACTACAGCAATTGTTCCATACTTAAGATTAGAATTAAAAAATAACCGAGATTTTCCTTTTTTCATAAACTCTTTTCCTCTAGAAAAATATAATTTTATTAAATTACTATATTACTAAACTAAATTGTATTAAAATGGACTGGAAATAAGAAATTAACCACAAAGTTATAAAAATTACTATAATCATATTATATAATTATATAAATATATTTCTAGTAAATTTGCATTCACATTAAACTGTTTATCTACATAAAATATTTTCAACACAATTATAATCAGCTAATAGTAATAATAATAATGATAATAATAACCATAAAAATATAAATTTATCTATAATATAAATACTATATAGGACATTGGACATTTGGCTTATGGAAGCACACAAATTCACGGATACTTAATATTGGTATATCTAAATTTATCAATATAACATAAAAATATTTAAACATACACTTTGTCAATGATGTACATATAATATAACACAAAATATCACACTATTCCAAAATATATTGCATACAAATGAGATAAATAGACAATTTTACATACAAATAAATAATAAAATTAACTAACTTTTAAAAATGTACAATTTTATGGTGATAATGAAATGATTCATAGAATTATTTAAGTTCAAGAACTTTAATGATTCCTTGACTATTAGCAGCCATGAGTATGTTGGATGTTTGACGCCAGCAAACAGCCGAAACAAATTCATTAACGTCATCATCTCTTCGTCTATCTTTTTCTTCTTCTGATGCACTCAAAATTGGGTTATTTGCTTCAAATTTAAATGTAAATAATTTTCTTTGTAATCCCTTATAGTAAATATAAAGTGAATTATTTTCAGACCCACAAGCTATGTAATCACCATCGGTAGCTAAGCCAACAAAATTTTTTTCATTTACATGACCAATAAAAGAACGAACACATCCTTCGTGGGCTTCATTAACATTCCATAGTTTTAACTGACTATCAGTTGATGCAGAAACCATTTCCTTACCATTTAAGAACTTAACATATGACACGGCTTTTTTGTGCCCTTTGAATATAGCTAAAGCACGTTTAGCATGTCGTAAATCATAATAATGAACACAATGATCAGCAGAGCCAAATGCAAGGTAAGAAGCACCAATTGGATTGAACTTGACACAACAAACATTGGCTTTTGCTTCAAGACATGCAACGGACCGTTCTTGATTAAGCGTCCAAAGTTTGACACGTGCATCATCTGATCCAGAAGCCATTAATCCAGCATCAGCTTTATTAAAATCAACACTCCAACATCGTTTTTCATGTTCTCGAAATATTCTGGTACGTTGACCTGTACCTGCATCCCACACACATACAGCCCCTTCATAATCACTACTGGCAACAGTGTTTTTTCTGTAAGAATTCCAACTAACACAAGATATCTTAGATGCAGATATCATTTCTACACAAGGATAATGAATATCAACACTGTCCCGTAATACACAGTCATATTCAAATACTTTAATGCGTTTAGTTACACCAGCAATAGCGAAATATTCATCATCTTTATCGAATTCAATACTTGAAACTATAGTTGAATTATTGAATATATCAGTGCCATAATTTAGGGTAGCTATAGGTCTGAGGGCATTAAACTTAGAAAATTTCACTAGATTTTCTCGAAACTCGTCCAATCCCTTTTCATGATCTTTTTCTTTAATATTTCCATCTTCTTCTGTTGAGTGTCTATTACCAAATACTAATTCTTTTGCTCTTAATGAAAAATAACAATCAACAAAATCATCAAAATGTGAACACATACGCCTACGTTGAATATTACCTGGGATACAATTATTTACACTACTTATTGAAGGAGTGCTATCAAATTTTTCATTGATATTATTGTGTTCTATATCAGTAGCTACTGGTTTCTTAGCTTCCCATTCTTTCAAAATTTTTTTTACAAAAGCTACATCTTTTTTTACTAACTCCACTTGTCTTCCAATCCGGCGCATTTGTGATTCTTTATCACATAATAACCTTTCAAGGAATTCAAAAAGTAACCGATTTTGAGCCAAAGCTGACTCAGCTTCAAGTTTACGCTTACGTCGAGTTAAAAGTTCCAACATTGCATCAACATCAGATAATGTCAATTTCTTAGATTCCGCATTGACAAATCCTCGTAATCCAGCAATTAAACCTAGTTTACTAGAGTTTTCTAATTTACGTCCTGGGTTTACTAGTTTATACTTTGTTACCAATTTATCAAGTGCTAAGTTAGGAAATATATCACAAATGCCTCCTGATAACAAGTTGCCACATTTTGGGCAAGAAGAATTTGTTTCTAGACTTTTAGAAACACAACTAAAGCAAAATGAATGCCCACACTTGGTAATATGTGCTTCATGGATAATATCATAGCATACAGGACAAGAATAATCAGATGAAGAGTTTGATAATGAAATATCAGTGGAATCCAAATGTTGACGTTTGATTGCACGTGATCCGGAGTTCTCTTCCTCCGTCATTTCAGACATGGTTTTTAATTTTATTTTAATACATTTTAGTATGTCGCAAACTGAAACAATAAGAAATAATGTGTTATATTAAATACTAATATATCATACAGGCATAAATTCAAAATCTTAAAGAGGAATTATCTGTAAACTACTTTAAATAATAAACTAATATTTTACATTAATATTAAAAATAACAATTTTTTTAACACTAATAAAAAAATTAATAAAAAAAATAAGAAAGAAAAATATCTATCAAATTTGTATATAATAAGAATCTGTAAATATGGCTTCAGCAATATAGAAAATAATTAACTAAAAAAAGCCAATTAAAAATGAAAAGTAATGAAATATCTATAAAATATATCTATTGGAGAAAAGCTTATCTAGAAGGTTAGGATATCTTTAATGCCACAATAAAAGGAATATGATTTATTATTCATGCCTAATACTTATGACACATTAATAAGTACATAATCATCTCTTATCATTTCAGTTTACGAGGAGCAAACTTAAAACAAATTGTCAAATAAATATAAAAAATTATCAGTTATAACAATAATCTAAGTACACGTGAAGTACCTAAATTATTTTTCTATATGTAACACATTTACATAAACATAGAAATATAGGAAATTAAAACAATAATGAATTGTGTATAAAATATGTACACAAATATATTTAATTAGTTATAGTACTTTTAAATAAAATTGACTTTTATTATACAATATTAGTAAGAATATAATTCTGATTTATAAACATATTTTTAATGAAATTATTCAAAGAAATAAAATTTATATTTCTGTTAACTAAGGAATTTGAATAACAGTATGAGCTGTCATTATTTTGTTAATATTTAATTGATTCAAAGATAAATTATATTTTAAAAATTAGTTAGTAAAATTAAATATATCTAATTGTCCTTTATATATTTTGTAATGCTTTAAAAAAATGTTTACACTGTAGTTGAAATCAAGGACCACTGGCTTATATTGACAAAAACAGTAAATCTTAGTTTAACAATAAATTGATTATTAAGGTTTACAATTTGTTTTACTTTTACTCTGACTTTTTACAATTTGTAGGTAGGTGTGAACAATTTTTTGATAAATGATAAGTTTGGTATGATAGTAATTAATTTATAATTGACCTAAAATTATTATTAATTTTATAGTGTTTATTAAAAATTAATGATATGTATTTAAATAGATAATATAGTATAATGAAATGATGTTAATATAAGTTATAACTTAAAAATATTAAAAAATTAAAATAATAAAATAAAATAACATGATATATTTTAGATAATTAAATAAATTGTAGTTTTATATGGATTAAAACATTAAAAAATACTTTTAGCACTCTTAAAGCTATTAAATTAACTTTAATACCATGTAGATACTTACATTTTTAATGCTTTTAAAATTGTGCCACCACTTTCTTGATTTATTTGGTCAGCTGCTGGTGTGAGTTTCACGTTATTTTCAGAATCGTCAATGTAAACACCAACGACGAGACCTCTCTGTAAAATAAAACAATTAAAATTATTTTCTGTGAATTCAATGAAAAATAAACACCAACAATCTAAATGAGATAATATATTTTTCTTTATAAGTACCTGACTAGAAAGACAACATTTAAGTGTATGAATTAGTCAAAAGACTTATCAATATTTAGGTAATGATGTTGTTCTTTATTTATTATAGAAGGTTAAAAATAAAAATTAAATGAATTTGAAATATAATATCAGTCAAATGTTTCATTGTATTAATCATTATTGATAAAATATGATGAAAAAAAACCCAGCTTTTAATAATTTAAAAATAATAACATTTTATAATTTCTATAAAATATCTCCCTAAGTACTTAACATAACTAGTGATATATACTTTTAAATATATCATTATCTAATATTGAAAACATTGAAATGTCAGATAGATATATAAAGCGAAAAACACAAATTGTAATTTAGATATAGGTAGTTAAGATAAAAGATATTTTAAATGAAAAGTGTATTCGATAAAACATTAAATCTGCTTGTGCAATACTGCCTATGTTTAATAAAATAAATGGGACAACGGACGAGACAATTAAACACAGTAGGGGCATAGCAATGATACTGATGACAGACACTACAAGACTATCTGTTATGTTCGAACATCCATCGGTAAACACCTCACCTTTGCACTGTCGACGTTGTCGCTGTAATCTCTACGTTTGACAACCGCCGGCGAACTACGGTTGGCGATGGCGGTGATACGTGAGAGCGACGTTGATGCACGTAAGTACATGGTTGTTAGTACGACGCCGGAACACTCGAACGGCGCATTCAGACGGGCCGGATGCTGCTGAAATGGAGCCGGACAGGAGCTGGAATGGTCGTGCAACGGCGAACAAGATAGATACGCAGCTGATCGTCGAAACGGTGTATAACGTGATCGCAACCAGATAGACGAAATAATAATAAAAATCTATATCAGCAGCAGCCGACGGGACGGAGATAGTAGTTCGCGAGGACGCACTATCTCTGTCTCTTTCCACTCGGTTCTTGCAAGCTCCGTAGACGCGGACCGATTGACCGGAAAATCGTTATCCGTCGGAAGTCGCTTGCTGTCTGGTGGTCGACGTGAGAGGACGTCGTTAAAAACTTTTGCGTTTCGAAGTCGGCGGGGCGCAACGCGGACGGCGGCGAGTAAAAGTAAAATAAAAAAGCCCTCAAAACACTGTGACTGAGCGGGTTAGAGAGAGAGCGAGTGAGCGAGCGAGAGTGGAAAAAAAAAATCGACGATCGTGATAACCGCAGGATTTATCCAACCGTATCGGGTCTCTATGGTGATAACCGTGATAACTACCACAGCGACGACGACATAGGTGATAATAGCGTTTTAGCGGCGGCGATGTTCATACTATTATTATTATTATTATGACAATTATTTATTGTAGAGATCGTTGTGTACAGATCACGGACATACTACTAAGGTCGTGGGCACCGTGGCGACCTTCGAACGATGTGCTGGGTCAAGGCACTACGACGGGTGTATTTTATTATTAATAGCGTGCAGTAGTCATGGCCTTAAATCCTTTCGTCGATGGCCCCCGTGGACACGACGACTTTAACGTCGCCTCAGCACCGCCCTCTAAGAGTCCGTCGCGACGTCGACCGACCGCGGCCGACAGGTGTTCGGGACGGAACGACGACGAAAACACAATACCTGAACAATAATAATAATAATAATAATAATATACTGCTTACTGCGTCTTCTTCTTGTTACTTACGATCGTCGCACACGTTTTAAGCGGTGTAGTAAAAAAAGAATAGTGCGCGACAGTCATTTAATTTTTAAGGAGTATGGTGTAGGCAATTTACGGGACGAATAGTATATAATTGCAACCGGTCGTTGGCCGCCGGTCAAAAAAATTAAATCCATAATTGTCATTTGATAAATAAATTATTATTGTCACAGTCATCGAAAAAAACATCAAAACTTATGAAATATTATGCATTTATAATTTTGTGTTATAGATACCTACACGCAAAATACAGAGACGCTAATATCTTACTGACAATATACTAATTAAAATAATTTGCTACAAATAATTAATAATTAGCATTATTAATTGTATCTGCACAGTTAATGTACGTTCGAAATTCTGATTAAAATTTTAAAATATACTTCCTACAAAGTTGATTTAATATTTTAAATTTTAATATAGGACTTTTGAAACAGAATTGAGAAATTTAACTGAAAAACATTTTACTAAAAGTGTTATTTATTTATTTTTTCACAATAAATTGTATGAAATAAGCGACAATTGAAGTTTTTGTTATCTACGGACATTTCTGTTTGAACGTCCGATACACAAGTAATCTGATGGTCTATAGATTCTATTGTCCCTTAGGATTCCTGCAGAGTGCAGGTGCATCTTACGAATGAATCGTTCTCACTGTCCCTGTAGTTCAAGTACATACGTTTGTGTCACTTTATAGTTTGTATTGAGTTAACGGAAAATAAATTGCCATTGAAAAAAAATGTGGAAGTATATTCTTCATTATGTGTTACGTAGAAGAAGAATAATTAAATTTAACAAAATTCAAAAAAATAAATTTATACATAGTAATACATAAATAATATATAGCCATGACGTTGGAGAGAGTCTAGGCCCCAATCCTGAAAAGGAAACCAACACAATTGACTTCTTCAAAAAAGCACAAATTTACAAATTATTATAAGATAACTACACTAACTTTACCATGTACATACCTATTTATAAGAGCTAATTGTTTCATTGTATATAACTAATTTAATTCTTTTCTTTTTCCTTGTAACGCTAATGGCCATGGATGTCGAAGCGGAAATATTATTTTTCAAGACCAATAAAAAAAAAAAAAAAATAATATATAGTGATTTATAAAAGAATTATACAAATATTATTTATTTTAAATAAATTCATAAAATCAAATTTTTTTTATTTATAATTTTTTTAAACAGATTTTATCCTTGTATGCCCTTTATTAAAAAATACAATTTTAATGTTTAATTCTTTGTTGATTAAATTTTTCATATGAATCCTAACCTGGTTTGTACGATGTAGGTATTTTATAAGTCAATTGTTCAATTTTATTTAGTGACAGAATGCAAATTTTTATTGTTACTATAAAGCTGTAGCCAAATACATTTTTCTTTTAAATTATTGTAAAATGTAAATTTCTTCATAGAAAGTTTGAATAATGCAACAACGAATTCATGTTTGAAACTTTTATTTTGCATTTTTTGACATTTTTTATTGTGTTTTAAAATTAATTTTTATAGATTTTCAGATAAACTTTTTAAGGATTAATAGTGTATTAATATTAAATGTGTAGCATTAGTAACTTCTTATTAAATACTTACATCCATATTTCAATCAGCCAAAATAATTTAATATTAATGTTCATTTTTTTCTGTTTATTTGGTTCATGCACATAGCTATATTATTGCGTAGTCGAGTCGATATTGGCAACGCCGTATAGTTAATTAAATAGGTATTGAAGATTGTAAAATTGTAATCAATAGTCTAGCCACCGGGTTGTTCTTTTAAGTTTTATTTATAATGAAAATAAGGAATAATCTTGCGAAAATGAGGGATATGGTATATTATATAATTGGCATATTTCAACTACATTTTTTTTTTTTAATAGGAGATTAAAAATACGTTTTTGTTTTTGATAAAGTTATGGGGGTCTATACAAGCGAGATACTTATTGTATCATAATATTATGATGATATTATATATAAATACCCATTTTTTTATTTTTACCATTGTAGCATTGGTTACCTATTATACACTGCATATCATATTTATTTACATACTTATGTAGACCGAAGCTTTTATTATTGATATATTTTAAGTTTTTTTGTTTTCGACACTTATTAGTTAATATTATATTTATGTACGATGTACCAATACTCTATCTTTAATATACATATATATTATATGAATAGGTATTTCATTTATAATTAAATTATTAAAACATCTTATATAATTATATATAATATATATAATCGCTGGATGATGAGTGCCCCGGTGAAAACGTGAAATCGTATTATTTTTAACAATTATAAGCTTATATTTTTTATCGAAATATATCTTACGGGAAAATTGAGATGTACCTACAGTGTATCTATTATCTACCAAGATTTTTATAACACATACTAATAACTTAGATATATATTATACATAGCAGTTTGATTGAAAATCGGTCCTAAATGCATTAGTGCGTACTTATAAAGTTATAACTAACAATTACAAAAGAAAAATGTATTAGATCAACTTGCTCCGCAGTCCACACCACATTATTAGAAGTTATTACTTTTAATATATTACACTATATACTATAGCCTTATAATCTTGTATAGGTAGGTACATAAATGTCACAATAAATAATAATTTACACATTGCAACGATAATTTGTCTAGAAATATTGTTGTATTTATAGGCTATATTGTTTATATTTAATATTTACGACATAAACAATAGTTAATGCGACTAATATTGCTCTGAATTATTTAAGAAATGTAACATGCATCGCCAAAAATAAATCTATCTACTAACTTGACAATTATAAAATATCATATATTATGAAATAAAATTAGAATAATGTTAAGTTTAAATTAAAACATGAAGACTTTATCATATAACAATAACGAATTCGTAATATAATTCAAATTTACGAATTTTACCTTATATGAGTTATCAGTGTTATAAGTTAATAGTTATAACTATAATTATATTATACATATAGTGGTAGTGTATAAAATGTTTCCTTATATCTGCTATAGTGCTATTTGATTAATCATAAACGGAATTCGATGATCAGTTAAAATAGGATTTAAGGACTATTTATTCAGAGATGAACGTGTTTATTTTTTATGTCTAAAGATACCTTTTATAGTAAAAAAGGCTTAAATCTTTGTAAGTAGTTCAATCTTAATATCTTTTGTGACAGGGTAGTAAATCTATTTAGTATTTTGCATGGTTAAGGGAGGGGTAGTCAAAGATAAAAATTTTCCAGTATTAGTCAAAACTATTGTTGAGGCAAAACTTAATCAATTTGAATTGATAGAAAATCTATACATACATGAGACATTATAATAAGTATAATAATTTATAAACAGAAAGATTTTTTTATCAAACAATACTCATTATTTTAAAATGTATTAATGTTTTTTTACATAATTTCCAGTTGAAATAAAATAACATATTTTATAGGTACCGTTATAATTTTGTAAGATTTTACTTTTTTAGAAGGCAATATATATTTTTTTTAAATTTCATATACTGAAGCAGAATATTTTTCAGAGCATTACGATACATAAAAATTGAAATTGGGATGAGTAGCAAATACATTTTAAGTATTGAAAGTTTAGGTAATAGTGGAGTGATGAGGTATAGTTAGATATTCTGTAAAATATTGGTTTACTACTCCGATTACATAAAATTAAAATACTTATGACTCATAAACTACTCATCAAGATTTTGATTTGTATGTATTGAAATCTGAAAAATATTTTTGTAATGTATGATAGAAACATTATACAGTATGTAGTACACAAGTTAATCTAAAAAGTAGGTATTTTATATTTAAATATTATAGTATATTTGACATTGGTAGTAATGGTAGTAAATATTATGGTAACCATAACTTATAAGCTACGAATATCTAATTTTCAAGTTGAAAAAACACTCATTTTTATAATAGTTTGTTTTGATTTTTTGCCATGAGTATTATGTGCATTATAATTAATTCGATAAATAATTAATTAATGTTACAATTAATTGTTGAACAATCAATAGTGTCAATTTTGTATTTTAAAGTACCAATTCTGACTTAATTTTCTTTAATATTTACTATTGAATCTTCTATTTAAACTTAGTAATACATAATTTATAATGTGGGTTTGTTCAGTTCGTGTTAGTGTTTTACTAATAATTGTATATTAATTTTGTGTTAAATATGTTTTTAAAATTGGAATAAAATATAATAAATAGTAGTTTACATGTAAGTATGTAACAAATAAAAATAATGTTTAATTTTTTTTTTTGGATTAACAATTTCAATGCGAGAGACTAAAGAGTCAATCAAATATGCAAATGTGTGTAGTGTATGCTAGTGTTCCAACAAAGCAAATAGACTATTTAATATTTATTTTGCATTATTTACATTAAGTTTCCTGACTTAACCAACATTCTTTTATAAATAAGGATTATGTGATTAAATAATACAGAATATATTTTAAGTTTCTGAAATAATATTTTTATACCTATCATGTTGTAAAACT